GTATTTGTAAAAATGTGTATAAACAAGAAAATTCAAATAAATTATATGGTATCACTGTTTAAGCAACTGCTAAAATTCTGGTACATTTTCTTTTCAATATTCATCATTTCCCTATCTTGTATATAGTTTAATATTTTTATTAATGGTTTTGTTGTGATTGTTCTGCTCTTTTGAGACTGCCTAACACTTTGTATGTGGATATTCCATAATAAATTTATTAATGGTCATTTCTAAAACAGAAATTTATTTGAATACTTTCAGAATTCTAACTTTTCATCAATTATTAAATGAAAGAATTGATGAGGGTATTGGTATATTTTAATTTTTCTGGTTCTTAGTCCATTCTTTTCCTTTAAAATCTGTATGTTCTTTCTATTAATTAAAGTTATCTGCAATGATTTCTTCTGTTGTGTATCTCCTTCTCAATAGCACCCGATATCCACATTTTGAACCTGAATTTCCTTCCTCTGTAATAATCTCCCAATCTGCTCTATTATGTATTGCCTCTCTTTTCATATTATTTATACAATTTGTTCTTCTCATACTTGATTAGTTATAGTTTTTAATGTTTTCATGGTTATACTAAATCTCAACCAAATGCCTTTTTAACCACATTTTGTTGTCACATTCTTCATATGTTTAAAAGAATTATAGTTTCTTAACTATCATTGAGAACATTGAGACATTTTTATATAATTTACTTTCATTTCCTGTAGGACAATGTTAGTATGTACACCCTTTCTCTACATTTTAATTGCTATTGGTCATTTTATTGCTGTTAATTGTTGTGTTGGGCCTCATTGTGTTTTTATGATGATTGTCATGTTCACTTCTGCATAATGATGAGAGAAGTAGGGAGGACTGGCATTTGCCAATACACTCAAAGGGCATGTTATCATTGATTATGTGTCTGGAACTAAATTTCTCTTTCTCTTATTCACTGAGTGCTGTGAAAAAAAATCCAGATACATTTCTATTTTCTGGCCAATATTTACATTGTGTCCTTTTGCTGTTCCTCTTCATATTTATAATGTATTAGAATAAGACTGTATTCTCTCACAAAATGAATCCTTTAAATAGAAATTCCAAAAGCAGAGTATAAAATGTTATGACCTTTATCTAAATATAAATGCATATTTTAAACGTTACAGAAATAGGGAGTCTTCACATTTCTTGTCTTTCTAGGAATAATGCTCATCTTTTTCTTCCTCTGTTTTTCTTTTTTTTTTTCTTTAAAAAAAAAATCATTTTATTTGGGGCTCATACAACTGTTATCCCAATCCATACACACATCAATTGTGTAAAGCGCATTTGTACATCGTTTCTCAAAACATTTTCTCTCCATTTAAACCCCC